CACACACACACACACACACACACACACACACACACACACAACACTAACTTTGAAAAGTATTTGTGCAAAGCTTTCATTGTTATTAGCTCTTCTTCATCTAATTTAGACATCGCAATCGGGTTATTGAGAATAACTTACACAGACTACTCCAGAACTATTAAATGTGGACACCAATTTACCTGTCTTGTATTGACTTTGAAAGGATTTTATTTATAAAAGGCATACTGTACCTGGAGTCTACCTGCTATATCGCTTAAAAATGATGGCCCTAATTATCCTGTACAACACACTGGTTAAGAATGTACTGTATATATTGTAATTTCTGGACTGCAAAGCACGTTTGATATTAAAAGCCACAGCAGCAATTCTGCCATGAACAAAAAGAGTTGTATATGGGCCGATTTGCTTTATGAGCCATGGGTTTCCACGTTATAACATTGGAGTTTTGCAGAGAAAGAGGTCACACAAACATATATTTTTTTCAACTTTTAAATGACCTTAAACGGAAAGTCAAATTCTAAAATGTTCTTTCCCATAACAAGTTCGATACCCCACTAGTCTAAACACGATATTCTGATTACTGTATTTTCTATTAGGTGCACCAAAAAGCATTACATTTTCTCAAAAGCCGACAGTGCGCCTCATAATCAGATGTGCCTAATATAAAGAGCCTGTAACTCTCTTTTTTTTCCCATTCAGTTGTTTTCCTGTTAGTGTGTTCCTATGCCAACTCGTGGTGATTATTAGCAGGAACCAATTGTAACCTAAAAGGGTTCTGCCCGACACTAATTGACATGTGCATTCGCCAACACACACTCAAACAAACACACAACTACTTTGTGAGCTCTGCGCAACCATTATGGAACAAAGATAAAACCAAAAGCATAGTTACCTACTGACTAAACAAAGAAGGAGACAAGCAAGTCTTGCAAGGATATTTAGCACCTTGTGGATGTGAGCCCACGAGGTTTGGGTGCCTTTTTGTTGAATCATTCATCTTCATAATGTTTGTCTTTCATTTATTGTTTTGTCCATGTTTGTGACCAGTTCTCATTGTTACAGCTGCAGTGGTTGTGAAGGCTCAAAATAAGTAAAGCTGTATTGTATTGTATTTCCTTTAGCGTAGCACCATCTAGTGGATACAAAGCGCAACCGCAGTCACTATTGTAGTTTCTATGTGCCTTATAATCCTACACATGAAAACAGTTTTAAAACTGGCCATTCATTGAAGGTGCGCCTCATAATCCGAAGCGCCGTTTTGTGCAGAAAATCCGGCAATATTGGCTTTGTGGTAAGGCTGGGCGGTATATCTTTATCGTCTAAAAATTGAGACATCAACATTCAAGATATTAATATCGAAATGAGGACCATATCAGTCATGTGACATTACCACGCTTATGCTGCATGTAAAGCTCAGTTCAACCAACCATAGTCTTCCTTTCGAGTTTGGCGCAGATGGCATTCATTTTGCGAGGGGCGAGAGGGAGGAGGGGCATACGCAGTGTCAGAATAAAACAGCCCACATTCTTTACACCCTCTCTCAGTCTCTCTTGCTGTCGCATGAAATAAACTCGCCGACAAGCTTGTGCAGTCCTCTTCATCACACAGCAGCCCAAGCCTGCCCGTGAATTTAGCACTCCTTCACGCCGTCAGGATGCACTGGCAAACTTGGAAGCATTACAGTGAATGGTCACACAGTGACAACGTGATGGAGTCGCGACAGGGTAACAAGGGAGTTGTGTTGATTTAACAAGGCCAGCAGCTTGTTCCAGAGGAGTCCAATTTCCTGAGTATTTTTGTCCAAAGAGGATATAGTTACAAATGTCCACATGTAGGGTGTTTATAAACACTCTTCAATGGACAAAAACACTCAAGAACATTATTTTGAAACGGACTCGCTGGGCCCATTTATTCAACAGAATTTTCAGTGAACCCTCCGTCGTGATCCCCATCATGACTCCATCAAGGCATCCCTGTGTGACCATTCACTTAACTCTTGACTCTTCACATGCAGCCGCTTCCGGTAAAAAACTCATCATCCAAGCCTACCATTGAATTACACAAGTGACTGATATGAAGATTCAGTATGAGCTCAGACTCCGACAGTTTCATTTGTCCACTGTGAAATGTTTGGTAATTTTATTGGTCATAAACATCATTACTTGAGATGTGCACAATATGTCATGCTTTCATTGCATTTTCCTGTCATGGAATTTTCATTTGAAGTCGGCCTGGTGCCCAGTGGTTAGTGTGTCGACCTCACATTGCAGAGGTTGTGAGTTCGATCCCAGCTCCGGCCTTCCTGTGCGGAATTTGCATGTTCTCCCCATGTCTGCGTGGGTTTTATCCGGGTACCCCAGTTTCCTTCCACATTCCAAAAACATGCATGGCAGGGTGATTGAACACTCTAAATTGTCCCTAGGTGTGAGTGTGAGCACGGATGGTTGTTCGTCTCTGTGTGCCCTGCGATTGGCTGGTAACCGGTTCAGGGTTTCCCCAGCCTACTGCCCGAAGACGGTTGGGATAGGCTCCAGCATGCCCTGCGACCCTTGTGAGGATAAAGCAGATCAGAAAATGGATGGATGGATGGATCTGCATTTGAACAATCTGACATGTTGCCGGGTAATAATGAATTTCACAACCATTCACTAAATTATTCAAATTGGGATTAATTCCAGCACTTACTGTTGACATGATCGTGTTTACATTAAAACAAGAATCAGCTGTCCAGAGGTAATTTAATAGTTTGCTTGTGTGACTAATTTTGAAGAGGTCTCCAATACATAACACATCACTTGTAAGGTGCATCATAGCCGCAATAAAATATTACATTTACTATGACTCCTACCATTGGATGGATGGATTTACAAGAGTTACATAACATCATATACCGGTAGATGATAAACATCACAGAAATGTGGACAGTGGAGTCAAGCTAAAATATATTTCTACTACCTGTGGAAAGTAATATATATAAGCGACTTGCAGGTCTTATCAGTGCATGCGTGGGAATCAAGTTTGGGGAAGAAAAAAAAAAATCGGCAACCAAACAAATGAGCGGCCATTTAAATGTTTTATCCCAGTCTAAACGTGTATGCCTAACTGTACACCTTAAAGGTGGCAGGCACTGTTAAAAACGCTTCAAAACGACTCTGCTCAATGGAATTCATAGGCTTGAATGTTGGCTGAAAAAACATCATTGCAAATCTCCAAAAAGTTCACCCAGAAATGAGAAGAAGATATGTGGCTGTCGCACACCTGCCATTGGGTTGTACGACTCCACAATGTCTTTCGATACTTATATGGCATGTGTTTGTTTATCGTAGTTGCTTGTTCTTGCAATAAAGAAGATTCTGATTTCAGAGGTTTGGCTTTCACAGGACGCACTGCAGCCGGTCATTTAGAACCTGATTCCAGTCCCTTGACCCTTCACCGAAGAAACGTCCTACGTGTCCCTTCTGGGAGGATTAACAAACAAACTCCAACCCCTGGACATCAGTGTAAACAAGGCGTTCAAAATGAAGTTGCGAGCGGCGTGGGAGCAATGGATGACAGATGGGGAACACAGCCTGACTAAGATTGGGAGGCAGTGCCAGGACAGTTACGCCACAATTTGTGAATGGATTGTGGATGCTCGGGCTAACGTGTCTGCTTGCACTTTTGCTCGAGCTTTTGCAAAAGTGCATAATTTTTGAGGAGCCGCACGGCAATGAGACTGATTCTTAACAATGACGAGAGGGAACCTGGCGTGTTTGATGAAGAACCTGCGCAGCTGTTCATTTCTGATAGAGAAGATGACGACATTGACGGATTTGTGGAAGAGGATTGATTAAAAAAAAATAAATAAATAAATAACGTGAGTACATTGTTAAATACTTCAATAAAGTACAACCGAACTCAGTTTACTACCACTGCCTTTTTGAAAACATACGCTCGCGTGGATGCATGCTACCGTATTTTTTAAGCTTGCGTATGTTTTACCACGCCTTGCGTCCAATAATACAGTGTGCCTTATGAATACATTAAATACAGAAGTAACATCCATATCTGGGACTGCGGCTTTTAATACGGTGCACTGCCTGGTCGCGAGTATATGGTATTCACTCACACTCACCACTGATGTGGTGCTGCAGGGGACACGCGGATCGCTCCATTCAGGAAGTCCAGACATGGGCATAGTTTATAAGCCCCTGAATCGAGCGAGGCTTTCTGAGGTGATTTGAGTCACATTTTTTTTCCATTACCGTATTTTCCGCACTATAGGGCGCACCAAAAAGTCTTCCATTTTCTTAAAAGCTCACCGAGCGCCTTAAAATCCGGTGCGTCTTGTGTTATGGTAATTACGGTAATACATCGTCTCCAAGATGGCTCCTTCCTGGAGAAATGCTTCAAATGTTATAACTTGCTGTTGGTTCAGTGAACTGTGTCACGGCTTTATTAAATAAGTTTGTGTTGTAGCTCCGAAAAAAGGAGAGCTGTGGTGTTAATTTTTTAAAACAGTCTCAATAAATACAGGTATGTCTTTGTCTGTCTCCG